GACGTAAATACAGACGTCATTACTGACAAGTGTACCAACCATAGGGAAAAACCACTGGAGTTCTATTGTAACCATCACAAAACTGTAGCATGTTATGTCTGTGAAACGCTTGAACACAAACAATGTAAAGTAGATTATATTCCTGAAGTGTCAGGAAATGTATCTGACGACTTGATGGATTTGAATAAAAAGATGGAAGTTTTAATCAAGAAAAGTGAATATAACATTATGAAAGCTGCAGCTGCTACAAAACAACTAGAACAAAGTCATGGAAAAGTCATTGAAGACAAACAGCTGGCTAGGAAAGAAATAAACGACCGTTTAGATCAGATGGAATCGATCATTATTAAAGAAGCTGAAACTGTTATTAACACAGCAAATCATAAACTTGAGAATATCAAGGATGCTTACGAAAAAATAGCCGAGGAAGTGAAACGTTCACAGTCATTTATAAATGACCTGAATAAAACAAACAAGCAGAATAAGCTTTTTATTGAAATGAAGAACATCACACCTCGTATGATGACACTGGAAAATGAAGAAATACAGATTGTCAAAGATAATATGACATATGACGACATTCAATTTGACCGGAATGAAAAACTACTTGATCAATTGAGAAGTGGGAAAATATTAGGAACAATTTTAACATACAGAAAACCATCAGCAGATACTGAATTATGTGTCACATATGAAAGATCCCTCAACGTGAAATTTCCCTCTGATGTAAAACAAAGTAATGTGACTGGGGCTGTAATGATTTCTGTCACACAAATGATCGTCGCTGATCATGGCAATAACAAAATTAAAATGATTAATATTGACACAGGAACACTGGTATCAGAGAAAACGCTGTCTTCATGTCCAATAGATGTTACAAAACTTCCGCAAAATAAACTTGCTGTTGCATTACTTGATGAAAATTGTATCCAGATATTGACTTATACAGATACGAGTTTGTCTTTAAATCGTCGTATAGATGTCGGAGAAATGTGTTATTGTGTAGGTTATTGTCAGGGTAAACTAGTTGTAGGCTGTAATTTTAATCCAGGAAAGCTAGTTGTTCTAGATTTAGACGGAAAAATCAAACAAGTGTTTGATACTCCTCGATTGTTTGATGGACCTGAAAAGATTTTTATCAGCAGTGATGAAAAGTCCTTGTATGTATCTGATTACACTAGTGATGAAGATAGCAAGTGTATAAAGATAGACTGGCAAGGTAATGTTGTTCAAAGATTCCAAGATCAAGGATGTAAATTGCCTAAAGGAATACAGGAGATGGAAGATGGTACGTTGTTAGTTTGTTTCTGCGAAAGCCACAAAATTGTCAGATTGTCGTGCAGCTTCAAGGCATGTGAGATAAAAGGATTAGAAAAAATAAACCTTCATTATCCACAGACAGTAACATACAGTAAAAGTAATCACAAATTATATGTCAGTTGTTCTTCTGAACAGGGGCGTGATTCAAATGATACAATAAAAGTATTCAATGTGAGATAACTTATTGGTATGTTTTGAATGTGAATATGTGATGTAATGTGACACATTGAATGTGATCAATGATAGTCACAGTAAACTACCAATAATCATAGTAGATGCAGAATATTTAGTACATACAAAAACACATCTTGTAATCAAAGTGAATGAAATATAGATATTCAGATTAAGATTTTATCAGAAAAAAAATATATATAATGAAAGTAGATAGAATTTTTTCATAAATAATGATCATCATTTATATACCATGTTAAGGAACAGCCTTTTATTCAGACATTTCAATTACTTATTTACTTGTCGTCTCCAATTTGAATTTAATTGATACTTCTGCTCTGAAGACGTGTAGTGATACCTTTATGCCTTGTTTTGTTTGTAAATAAAATATTATAAAGCTGACTCATACTTAAATATAATAAACAAATGTAATATAATAAACAAATGATGTACTACGTCTTTCTATCCCATGATGAAAATGGAAAAAGAATATTTTAATACATAAGTAGTAAGACAATTGTAATAATTACTTAATGATTCAGGGTGATTTTATCGGTGATTTAGAAAACGATATTAGCAACATGTCACATATGGTTTAAATGATATAAACATCCCAGGTCATATATAATTCGATTATTCTGTTTCATTCTGTGGTATACAGAGCCCATAATTATAGAACATAAACACGTATATACAATCAAATTCAAAGAAATTACAATAAAAATAAAGTTTTAAAACAATTGATCGTTGTAGAAAATCGGAAGTAAAGATATAAATTATTGTCATTTTCGCCTCAAGTTATGTTCTCTAAAATGAAAATTTCTAATAGTTTGAATCTTTAAGACTTCACTAATTAATTCTATAACATAGTCTTTACAAATCATCGCCTTAATCTAATACATTTTGAATATTTTTTAGTTTTTAATGCCGTTTGAAAATTCTCAGATCCCTAATTTTTTCGCACCTCTTAATGTTTTGCTCACAAAAATTTACAAGGAACAAAAACAAGATACATATTTATATTTCTCGAGTTGCTTACAACTATAATCTCGTCATCAAAGAAAAGACATCTGTGAGGCATTCTTCGCGATACAAAACTTTGTGGCTTGTAAAATGGGGATAGCGGAAACCGAATAAAGGTTGTTTTCACTACCCAAAAATCGGTGTTTTTTCCCCTGAAATATCCTGTGCACATTCTTCACCAGAACTATGACTTAACTGCAGCAGAATTTAATCCAGTTTATAAATTTAATTGACTTACAGCTGACCCTAAAGATAGCCTATGCTATGTACCATGCATGTTAAATTTAAATTGAATATTTTACAAAATGTATGGGTAAATTCCATTTTCAGTTGTTGCAATTTGATATCAGATTTGCCCCCATTTTCTGATATATCGTGCTATATTTGCACCTTCAGAAAGTCAAATGTTAGCTCATCTTTACCAAGCGATTTTATTCAAAAACTGAAAAAGTTCAAACTTGTATTGTTAAAAATGCCCACTGCTTAAAGTTTTGTACAAATGCACATGGTATCATACTCTAATGTGTAGTGTAGCTTTCAATACTTTTGCAATTTTGCAACTTTTAAAGTTACACTTTTGACATATAAAAACAATTGTTTTAAAACTTTAGAAAAGACGATCTAATCAAATTTTTATTTTATTTAAAAAAAAATTAATAAAATGTTTGCACAAGTTACGTACTTGTTCTTAAAATTGGAAGAGATTTTTACCTTTTACGAGAAAATTATTTTCAACAATTTAAGACACGCGCAAGCTCAAGTCCTTAATCGCTTAGTAGCTAGAAATCTCTTATGTCTATATAACAATGAAAAATGATCGTATATAACTGATCTCATAGGCGCTGAGGTGATGCTTGTTAACAGTTTTTCTTTTAGGATTCTCTGTAAATCTTTGATAATCCTCTGTGTTTTGTTGTGCTTTTCCTAAGCTTATTTTAACAGCCAAAGATTATTTTCTGAGCCCTTATGAAACAGTAATGAGATATCTAGTCTTGAAGAAATATGAGGCGTGACCTATAACACTTGGATATATTTAAATTGGCTTTTATATCCAATGGGAATGTGGAATGGCCAACCTCATTAACACTGATGTAATTGTTGATCTAATCTTTCCTTCATTTACCACTGTTTATGTTAAAAAGGTCAAAAACTATCTCTAAAAGTCAGTCACATTGCACAAAGTCCATGAAAACTTGTTGCTGATAACAAAGAGACACTGGTAAATAAACCATGTACACATATTGAAGTTGTGTAAATTGTATTAACACTCAGTGATAATTAAGCCAGGACATTTTTGTTTTTGTTAGCCAGGGCTTATGGCTGTTTTCCAACCTAAAAAGGGAGAAGACATCTGCCAGTGTCATATCAGAAAGGGACCATAGGCGGGGAAAGTGACATAAATAACTGTGGCAAATATCAATAAAGATAAAAATAAAATAGTTTGTTTTTGTTTATGTGTCTTCGTTCTTAAATTTAAAGAGAAATACTGTTCACTTATCTTTGAAATCATGGTGGCCACATTCGCTATACATTTATATGTAGTACTTAGATTTGGTATTGCACTGTACGTGCGTTCCATGTGAACTTGCCTTTTGAACTATTGGCTATTGACAAAAAAACAGTTGTTGCACTTGTAATTCTCTTTTAAATTAAGCAACAAGAGTTGTCAGTAGGACAGCATGCTCGACTACTCTAAGTGCTTGAAAGTAAAACATGTAGAATTTTCTAACTTCATAAAGGGCCATTATACTGTTCAAGTTTTTGTTAGAGTTATGGGCCTTAAAAATGACCTATTATGTTCTCAAACGAGTGTGGAAAGTTTTCCTTAAGTAGTTTTGTAAATATGAACTTGCACATGGTGTAACGGCGAGGCCAACTTCTGGTTAAGTAAGATAGCTCTCCATATCCTTCAAATAGTCGAGCTAAAAACGGAGCAGTCATTTTTGTGGGTTTGGTTGGGTATAGACAATCCCAATGCTTCTCAAAGGAATGGATAAGACGGATTGGAAAATAGTTGAAATATCATAGTAAGCTTCAAATTTTCAGTACAGTCGATCGTCTTTCAACTGAACTTATACTACCTACCTTTTGAAGTTTAAAAATGAAAACATATTACATATATTTTTCTGTATATGATTATTTATCTTATTTGCATAAAATGAGATTCAACACAACACTATGTAGTCTCTGCATATATAACTTTCGTAAACATACACAAATTTAATTGCAATTATCAACAATTAAGATTTCAATTTAAAAATAAAGTTAGAAAATCATTTGACACACTACATCTATGAACATCTTTCAATATTTTGAAATAAAGTTAAAAAAATACATATATTTACTAGATTTTTGTAACACGATTATTATTATAATAAGTTAATAACAAAGATTGATATAAGAAACTATCAATAATTGTTACACTCTTACTTGATTGAAGATCATTCAATCAGTTCAGAGGTTTTAATTCCTGTTCAGCTTATGACCCCTGACAGAAGCCAAGGCAAATGATTGGGACATACTTATATGTTACAGATCTAGCATATTATACATTTAATAAATTAATTACATGTTTCAGTACTGATACATCAATGTTTATTGCAGGCAAGACATAAAGTCTATACTATAGTAAGTAAATATGAATTAATACTGGATCATAATGAGCAATGATGGATCCACCGAGGAAAAGGTATAGTGTCTTTTATAGAATTTATTCCTAGAAAACACTGAAGAAGTCTCTCAAAGCCCATTCAAAATCCGCCATGTGTTACACTGCCATATCTTCTTAAATCAAGATACCTGAATATATATATAAAAAAACATTCATGGAACATAGTTGAGAATAACTGTTTCTTTGTTATGTATGATGAAATTATACTCTTTATATATCTATGTGTATAAAGTTGATGTAAGGTATGAGAGGGGTATGACAATGATCTGGAATAAATGTTAACTACACAAGATATATTTTTGATGACAAGGATCTAACTGTATAATTATGTAAGTCATGTTAATCTTTTATATACATTCATGATTGTAAAAGGAAAGAAAGTACTATTGAAAGCAATAGAAATAGCAAAACAGAGCTGATTCAATGAAAATGTAATAAAACTTTACAAACCAAATTACATATTTTTTCTCAGAAACCTAAATCGATGAAGTATATGGCTTTCTCAGGGGGAAAATACATGTGTACAATATTTTGTCACTATTGAAATACACAAAGAGGTCTTAAGTTCTAATTGTAAACTGAAACCTTCAGCCAATATAAGACTTGCAGAATCAAGGTAACTGCCATGTTCACTTATTAATCAATATTATGTCAAATATCGATTAAATACAGTCATGGCAAAATTTTGTAAGCCATAAGCCAAAACTCTGTTACAATAATTGATAAGAAATTTGAATTTATTATCTGCTAAAACTAACTTTGAAGAAATCTTTATTTGTGTAATATTCACTAGATTTTTTACTTTAACCTATTGGCATGACGCGCAAAGTTTAACAAAAAAATATTCACCATTGATAAGATTCTGTTAGTTGTAGATCATCTAATCTTGCTTTGATTATGTCATATCTTTCTTCTCTAAGACTCCCTCCAAACAGCTCACCAACTTCCGGTACCAGTAAATCTACAGCAGCTACCTGTGTTAACATCAATATGTTAAATATTAATTTGTTAGTTTCATAATTATATTTAACAGCACTTAAATGGTCATATTACAACTTCCCTACAAGATTTTCTGATTAAGAAGAAAAAATCATTTTTAGGCATTAGATGCTACCTGAGTAGACCGTCAGTTTTGAACAGAGACAGCTGCCATGGACTCACACCAATATAATTATTATGATGCAAATGGTTGAAAGTCAAGACACTCTAACCACTTGGCCAGTTTGGCCAGCATATATTTATAACTCAGTCATTTGTATTCTCATAACATAATTTTCAAGTTTTTAGAATGTGCACTACTATTGTGTTTTCTTTTAAGTCACAACACTATAAACTTTGCATGAAAATATTTATATTGGAGCCTTTATTTAGAAAAATCTTTTTATCTTTGATAACCTTCATTTTGACCAAAAAGTAATTCAAACCGCAGCTAAAAATAGAAGTCTAAACAGGGTACCTAATTACCAAATATTTAATATACATATATTAGTCAATAAATATATTGACACCAGAAAAAGTAACAAACATAACTGACATGAAAATACAGTAAGTGTTACAGCTGGAACAATATTGTTACAGCACATCCAACAGAAAACCAATGACCAAATACTGCCTTGAAAATGTTTTTAGGGAGCATAATGAAAGAGTCGCAGATAAATAATTGGATTTTAAGTGTTTGCTTTTAGTTTAAACATTTTTTATTCAAGTTTGATTGTTAAAGCTTTCAACATATTTGTTCCACTCTGGAGACTCGTACTGGTGTCATATGAGGAAACATGTTCGTGACCCCCAGCAGGGATCAAACCCAATGATTCCAGGGATGAAAGGCAGACAGACATCATAACCATCAGGCCACTACTCTCAATTTTTGTTCTTAAGTATACATTTATAAATTGCCTCACATATTTCTGTACTCTACTAGTAATTTCAACAAAGTACGAGTAGTGTCTAAAGTTAAACTCGATCACTGTATATATTTTCCTCGCTGTTTCTTCTAGCATAAAATGGTTGGAAATCTGTTACAAATACAGGAACATTGTTGCAATGTCTCACGTTCTTTCTGTAGATCACAACACCACTGTTATATATATAAAAACATAGGAAATGTAATTTCAAAAGAAACTTTGTTTTCTCACAACCCCACTGTTATTATTATAAAAACATTGGAAATGTAATTTCAAAAGAAACTTTGACAACATTTTATTTCTTACAAATTGCGATACAATTGCGATAATTGTAATTATAAAAACTTTTTAAAAAGAAATGCTAGACATGACATTAAAATATGGATGTTATGATGGCATTTGGATACTCACAAAAGCAAAAGCAAGTTGGATTTAAAAATAAGCATCCTTTTTAACGGCTCCTATTCTGTTTGTTATACAATCTGTACATCGGTTTTGAATATCTAAAATATAACCTGTCATTTGTCAATTACCTGTCATATAGGATTTTGCTCAATTCCTGTCTGTGATTTAAAAATTTAGCAATCATATAAACAGCAGTCAGATAATATATATAAGCTTTGATTGTAGAAAGAAAATTAACACTACGAAATGTATTTGTAAATATGTTTTTCAAAATTAAAGAAATAAATATCTATAAATGTTAATTTAAGCAAAACCAGTGAGATGGAGGTGAGAGTAGTACTTAAGCTAAATGTTTTCATCATTTTCTGAAACGGATAAGACAAAGATACAAAAATATATCTATGAATTTGAAACTGTTTAAACATCTGTGCCATGAAGATTGAATTACCTTACATCATTTTAATAATGATATGGTGTCGTACATATGCAAGTCTCTCCTTATTCATTATCATAAACGAAAACATTAAATACTTAACTACATGTACTTATATTCACAAATTTGAAACAGACAATCCAGGTATTTCCTTTTGACAAATAATCAAAATAAAGTAAGCACTTATCAAATTATATCAAGATCACGATTAATGAAATTTGATTTGGCTCTAATTTATCGGCATGAGTGTCAATGCACATTAAGAAGTAATATATCTATTCTCTTTAGTTAAATTCGAGGAATTATTGGGATTAAAACCAGAATATTTATTTTCTACGCATCATACGAATTGAAGTACCGCAAAATGACTTCTGTTATCAATAATTCATCTTTTATAATACTGCACGTTTGTAACGTCGCTTTTCATTGGATAATCGTGACGTTTATATAGATTTATATACACGGCTGCTGTCGATATCTTACTTTTCCTCCACAAAATGATGCTTGCTGTATTATAAATTCGTTATAAAGATTGTTGACAGGTTATATGGCCGTATATAAACGGCTGTTTGCAACATAACCCTCGCCTTACGGCCTTACTAGCCGTTTATATAGGGCCATATAACCTGTCAACGATCTTTATAACTAATAATATACACTAAACAACACAAATCTAGGAGCGATCAGTTATCTCCAGTCAGTTTTATGAAAACTTATATAATTATGGGTTGCCTCTGAAATGCTTTTATTCTTATTTGGTATTTGGTGTTCCGCTATAGTTTCCAAAAGTTAAGGCACTGGCAAATTACCTAAACCCATATTGAAGCTTCTGTTGCTTTCTGGCTATTAGTTCATTATGTGTTTTTAAACATGTTTATATAAACGTTCCTGAATAGATCAATAAAATGATGACACGTTTTGTTTCAAATAGTTAATCTTTTTGTAAACGTTACAAAACATGTTTATTTTAAACATAAAGAGCAGTTGTTTCATTTATTTATTATATTTTTTATTATGTTTTGCAACATTGTATTATTAATATGAAGGATAAACTAACTACTTTTAAGGGCGATAATCATACTGTGTCATCAATGAAAGACAAACATTACGTCCCATGCGTACTAGAATTTAAACTTCCGCGTTCCAAAATTCATATAATTTTGAAGTATTGTAATAATATTGGAAAATATTCATGTTTAAGAACGGTGTGACTAGTGAAGATAAATAGTGACATGATCATTATTAACAATTAAAAGACACTTTTATGTTATATCTTAAAACAACTGAACATTTTAAATCAGATCACGTGAGTTATCTTTCTTTTCATCTTTGATAACCTTAATTTTGACCAAAAAGAACTTCAAACCTCAGCTAAAAATACTTAAAATAGAAGTCTAAGCAGGATACCTAATTACCAAATATTTTATATACATATATTAGTCAATAAATATATTGACACCAGAAACAGTAACAAACATAACTGACATGAAAATACAGTAAGTGTTACAGCTGGAACAATATTGTTACAGCAGATCCAACAGAAAACCAATGACCAAATTCTGCCTTGAAAATGTTTTTAGGGTGCATAATGAAAGAGTCGCAGATAAATAATTTGATTTTAATTGTTTGGTTTTAGTTTAAACATTTTTTATTCAAGTTTGATTGTTAAAGCTTTCAACATATTTGTTCCACTCTGGAGACTCGTACTGGTGTCATATGTGGAAATATGTTCGTGACCCCCAGCAGGGATCAAATCCAATGGTTCCAGGTATGAAAGGCAGACAGAAATCATTGCCATTAGGCCACTACTCTCTACTTTTGTTCTTGAGTATACATTTATAAATTGCCTCACATATTTCTGTACTCTACTAGTAATTTCAACAAATTAGTATCTATAGTTAAACTCACTGTATTTTCCTCTCTGTTTCTTCTAGCATAAAATGGTTTAAGGGAGGCTGGGAAATCTGTTACAAATACAGGGACATTGTTGCAATGTTTCACCAGATACTTCTCATGTTCTTTCTGTAGATCACAACCCTACTGTTAAATATAAAAACATAGGAAATGTAATTTCAAAAGAAACTTTGACAACATTTTATTTTCTTACATATTGCGATAATTATAAAAACTTTTTAACAAGAAATGCTAGACATGACATTAAAATATGGATGTTATGATGGCTTTTGGATACTCACAAAAGCAAAAGCAAGTTGGATTTAGAAATAAGCATCCTTTTTAACGGCTCTTATTCTTTTTGTTATACAATCTGTATATCGGTTTTGAATATCTAAAATAAAACCTGTCATTTGTCAATTACCTGTCAACTAGGATTTTACGATGCTCAATTCCTGTCTGTGATTTAAAAATTTAGCAATCATATAAACAGCAGTAAGATAATATATAAGCTTCGATTGTAGAAAGAAAATTAACAATACGAAATGTATTTGTAAATATGTTTTTCGAAATTAAAGAAAATAAATATCTATAAATGTTAATTTAAGCAAAATAAGTGAGATGGAGGTGAGAGTAGTATTTAAGCAAAATCACCCTGAATGAACAAGTTTTGTGACGTGACCACAAATGCAAACGCCGATTTAACATTTCAGCAAACACGGACCCAATTTCAGGTAATTATTTGAAGATATCTTTTTTTCTACTTCATCCACAAAATTAAGACCTAGACCGTAGTACCCGGCGTAAATTAAGCTTTCATTTTATGTGAGTAGTCAATACTAGACTTTAGTAGTTTTTTAGAACACTTCGACACAAATGTTCTTTTCGCAAAGTAAACGCCGATAGGTTTTACTTTTTCCAATCTTTTATTTTTTCACTGGAAATACATGTTGAGGTAAAATAA